GTAGTAGAGTAAATCACTGGCCGGAATGCTCCATCTGCAAAATAACAAGTTAACTCGGGAGAACAAAAAAATTAACTCACATTGATATTCCACATCGTTTCTATTTTTACCATCTTTATCGACAAACGAAAGACTAATTATATCCGTAGAATCTGTGGTTGCGTAGAGAATAGCGTTCGACTTAAAGTAAAATACAACTGGTTAAAATGTGTTCTAACATAAGTGAAGCTCACAATTTTTGCAGGGGTGGCAAATCGAATTGGTATATTATAGACACCGGCAGACTGTGGTTGAATAGTCAACAATTGAAGTTCTCCAATAGTTTGGGTGGATGCTACACTAATGTTCTCGTTTTGTATAGTGCCTGCACATTCAATTATTCATTTTATTAGACAATTATCTGCTCACCATTAACTGGTCCATCTTCACTTGAATCTTCGTTTGTCAACAGAAGATAATATTTTTGCTCTTGCAAATAAACGTTGTTCAGAGCAATTCCAGGTTTTGTATCACTTGAGTATGCTTTTGCAACAATATCATTGGCAATAAGTGTGGGGAAATATAACGTGAAGAACTGGAAAAATCGATTTCTTTCACAATAGCTTAATTGTAGTAATACCGTATGCAATTCATCATAGTTATCTAGTCGGACAGCAATACCACCACTGGCAATTGCCAAGTCGTTCATGTATTGATAAACATCGGATCCATATTGCGTGTAACTTTGCACAAATAGAACAAACAACTGAAAAAAATAACGTTAGTTCCGTCGTCCCGATAAAAATAACGTTAGTTCCGTCGTCCCGATAAAAATTATTTTTCCAGGAGTGTTTTGGACCTCCCCATGTTATTACCTTAGATCTCTTTGTTCCTAATGCAGTTTTAATTGCAAGAGAATCATTAGCACTCATGCTCACATTAAAGTTAACAACAAACAGAATATCTAAAAATCAATGAATTGAATTTGGAAACTCCGAAAATAAAACACGCACCTGAGTATAGTGAACCGTTTTCGATGGCGTCAACTAACATGTCTTTCACAGATATTGGCACAGAAACATCTGCGCCAGATGATGAAGTGTTAGTATAACTCAGAACTTTTGTCATGAACTTTCCGTAATCAGTATGCTGTAGAATTAACATGGAAAATGAAATTTTGTCCTCAACTAACCTGTTTGATTTGATAGGTTTCTCCATTTGTCAGTACGGCTAGGAAATTGGAGTATCGGGACGACGAACTAACGTTAGTGGGTCAATGAGCTGATAGAAGAAACTGTTTTTGTTGCGGAACAAGTTATCAACAGAAGATCTAAAATGAGAATTTTTTAAAATTTTTTCAGTTGTTTCAAAGCTTACTTGGTTACATTAGTGTCATTGCTATTCTCAGCGACAATAATGAAACTGCGTTCTCCTGTTTTCTCGGGAGCAATGTCAGAACCACAGGCAAAGTCTAAAAAATTATACTTTCAAAATATTCGGTAAAATAAAAAACCAACCTTTTGAAAAAGACTGCTCGAACTCTAATTGTCTCATATTTTGTGTTTCAGCAGCAAAATTGTTGTAGATTTTTTCTAAACACAT